AGAGGTCATCAGCAACATAGTTTGACTCGCCCTTAATATGACGAAGGTCTGTCATGGTCTTAGATATACAGTCCAAATGTCTGGACTCTGGTGGTGAGTAGCGGTCAGAAAAGGTATGTACAGAATACGTTAGAGGCTCATGGTCGGTGAAAAGGATAAGATTACGACCTTCTACTGCGTGCCGGAAATGTTTGATGGCACAGTAGGCTGCTAGCGATTCGCGACGAAAAGCGCTTTATCTCGTCCTAGTGGGGTTAAGGCTTCGTGAGAAAAGTTCGAGAGGTTGCCAACTCTCAGAGATGTTTTTTTGCTAAACGGCTCCTATAGCCAATTCGGATGCATATAGTTGTATCGGTTGTAAGTTCGCGCGATAACTCTGTCCACCACGACCACAACCTGGGTTAGCGGCATTTCCTCGGGCAGAGAGGCGACCGAAGGCTGGATATAGGCTGGTAGTGACTCTAGCCACAATTCTCTGACGATGTCACTATCGGATGTCGAGGGTCCTGCAAGTGATTGCAGGCGCGTGAGGTGATGGCTAGGTTTAGCATCACCCAGGTGGTGACGTGCTAAAAGTGTCCTCAGTCGTTCCATCCTCCATAAGAGGAAATATCGAAGAATCGTCTGGTACATCGGAGTTGAGGACTACCTCACGAACGAAAGCTATATGATCCCACCATAGAGATTCCAGGTAGTAGGCAAACATATGCCTCTGATTCGTAACGCAGCGGATCTCAAATTGAGCTTCCAGTGCCGAGAACCAGACCTCTGGATAGTGGGGGATAAACGCTACAGGTCGAAAACTAAGAACCTGTATATGTGAATCGGCTAAAATATCGTCACATTTAGGTCTCTCTACCATTTTAAAACTCTATTGTAGTTATTATATATATATATATATATATGTTAAACAACAGTTAAAATAGTAGGAAAATGGGACAGAAAATTGACAGACTCACCGAATTTACTGCGTATTTGAGTTGTTAGCTCACCGGTATAGAAATTCTTACGATATACTTCATCGTGGGTTAAGAAATGTTACTCTGAGAATCAAATAAGAAATGGATTCTAGAGGAAGAGGTATATTTGATACTGACCTCGTGATATCGAAATAATATCGAGGCAAGAGGGTGTCCAAACGTCCAGACAGGATATGTGTGAAGATGAGAATGGGAATAATACGCTTGGCGGGAAAGAGATAGTCTTTAGTACATATAAACAAGAGGTGTACAATATAACAATTATTGTCAGAATTAAGTACAATAATAAATTTTTATATTTCAGCACTTGTGTTTTCTTCATAAAAGCAAACCACTACATTAGCCCCCCCCCATAGAAAGGGTTTTCACTTTCGATACGTAGCAGTTTCGTGCGGAGGGGGCGGGATAGTCAGATAACGGGCAATTTCGGGGCGGAAGGGTTGACGAACAGGAAGCGACCAATGAAGCTCGAGTTGTCAACGAGATTATTTTAAGTTCAGTTGTACGAATTTTAACGTGCCAAGTTTAGTGCTTGAGTTGGCATGCTTGTATCCAGAGTCTGAAGATTGCGTTCTTAGAGGTTCGTACCAGAAGAACAAACTGCAGACGTAGTACGGAACCAAGCTAAGGGAAGGAGACAGAAACGACCAGTAAAAAACCATTCGTATGCTAAAACATTCGAAACCAAAACATCGACTGAGAGTGAGGGTGATCAGGCCGGCTTCCACCAGAAATGACTGAAGTCGACGGTACCAACAGGGCGATGTTCATAGACATGGGCTCAGCATACAAAATAAAAGAAAAAGAGAAATGTGTAGCATACATATGGTACGAGGATAGTGTACTATCACTTATCGGTTGTTGCCTGGGTGGTTATTCGAGAAAGCGTTCAAGTGAGCTTTTGCGGCGACCGCAGTGCCAGACGGCAGTCTCGTGAGTACCTTGTGAGCCTTCAATCTCATCCGAATTCAAGGTCCGCGTGGACTGCTGATCTGGACGTGAGACCGGAGTCTCATCCGTAGACAGTGCAGTTGGCGCGTGCTGTTGACTGGGACGTGAGAATGAGGTCTCTGATTTGTCTAGCGCGGGACCAAAAGTAGCTTTAAGAATCACGCTAGTAGGTTTGATAAGTCTAGCATTGAGTTTCGGATTAGCAAGTAGGGCACTGTCGTCGACGTGTGCTGAATTGAGACGGTCAATGCCGACTACCTCGATGTGGCTATGTTGAGCAACCTTGAAGGTCTTTTCATGAAGAGAAATCATGTGAAAAGGTCTTTCGTTAAGCTGTTGCAAAGGTTTGAGTACTGAATCCACTCGTATGAAGAAATGCGAACAGGTAGATAACTCTCAAAGGGAGTGACCAGTCGATGCTTTACTAGAGTTGACATCGGAAGCAGTGCTCCAATAAATTCAGACATTCGTTGGACGTAGTTTAATATACTGAAGTTGTCACTACTCCGTGGTGTGAAAAATTCCCCAGGCAAACGCAATGTCGTGCCGTATACCATTTCATCGGCGACACATTGAATATCTACATATAAGCTCGTTCTGATACCTGAAGGGACGAGAGGTAAGTTTTCGTACCAATCGTTGTTTTCGTGTGCTGGAAGAGCACTTTTAAGTTGGCAATGAAACCGTTCGAATAAACCATTCGGAGCTGGGTGGTAGGCGGTAGTGCTTATGTGCTCCGTATCAAGCAGCCGGGTTAACGACGAGAATATTTCGGACTCGGACTGTTGTCCTCTGTCAGTTGAGACAGTTGAGGGACAAACGTAATGTTCTACAACCGTTGTTCTACGAAGCTGTGAGCAACTGTTGCCGCCGTAATAGAAGTGATGGGAATAGCTTCGGGTGTGAAACGATCGATGCACGTGAGTATGTGATCATACACATACGATGTTGGCAATGGTCCTCCAATGTCAATATGAACATGATTGGAGCGAGCATCAGACGTAGCAAGTGTGCCGATAGGGGCGGCTGTGTGTCTGTGCACCTTTGATCGTTGACATTGTAAGCATTGCTTTACCCACATACGGACATCTTTATGAATGGACGGCCAGACGTATCCTACAGCTCTGAGATGCCTGGATGAGACAATCCATGTACGGGCATCGAAGATGAGACAACGATGAGCAGAAGGTACAATGGGTCGGGGTAAACCTGCAGAATCGTCACACAGGATAGTAACTGAAGTGGTAGCTAGCGGTACTTCCCGGCACTGAAGGGATGTCGATTGTTGTGCTTCTGTACAAGAGGGATCGTTCGACCGGGCTGCGGCAATAGCAGGAAGATCGAGCACTGGTAGAGTAACTTCATTTACTTGAATACGCGAGAGATCATCAGCAACACAGTTTGACTCGCCCTAATATAACGAAGGTCTGTCATGATTTGAGATATACAGTCCAAATGTCTGGACTCTGGTGGTGAGTAGCGGTCAGAATTGGTATATACAGCATACGTTAGAGACTCATGGTCGGTGAAAACGATAAAATTACGACCTTCTACTGCGTGCCGGAAACGTTTGATGGCACAGTAGGCTCCTAGCGATTCGCAACGAAAAGCGCTATATTTCGTTTTAGTGGGGGTAAGGCGTCGTGAGAAAAGTTCGAGAGGTTGCCAACTCTCAGAGATGTTTTGTTGCAAAACGGCTCCTATAGCAAAATCGGATGCATATAGTTGTATCGGTTGTCACTTCGCGCGATAACTCTGTCCGCCACGACCGCAACCTGGGTAAGCGGCATTCCCTCGGGCAGAGAGGCGACTGAAGGCTGGATATAGGCTGGTAGTGACTCTAGCCACAATTCTCTGACGATGTCACTATCGGATGTCGAGGGTCCTGCATATGATTGCAGGCGCAAGAGGTGATGGCTAGGTTTAGCATTACCCAGGTGGTGAGGTGCTAAAAGTGTCCTCAGTCGTTTCATCCTCGATAGGAGGAAATATCGAAGAACCGCCTGGTACATCGGAGTTGAGGACTACCTCACGAACGAAAGCTATATGATCCCACCATAGAGATTCCAGGTAGTAGGCAAACATATGCCTCTGATTCGTAACGCAGCGGATCTCAAATTGAGCTTCCAGTGCCGAGAACCAGACCTCTGGATAGTGGGGGATAAACGCTACAGGTCGAAAACTAAGAACCTGTATATGTGAATCGGCTAAAATATCGTCACATTTAGGTCTCTCTACCATTTTAAAACTCTATTGTAGTTATTATATATATATATATATATGTTAAACAACAGTTAAAATAGTAGGAAAATGGGACAGAAAATTGACAGACTCACCGAATTTACTGCGTATTTGAGTTGTTAGCTCACCGGTATAGAAATTCTTACGATATACTTCATCGTGGGTTAAGAAATGTTACTCTGAGAATCAAATAAGAAATGGATTCTAGAGGAAGAGGTATATTTGATACTGACCTCGTGATATCGAAATAATATCGAGGCAAGAGGGTGTCCAAACGTCCAGACAGGATATGTGTGAAGATGAGAATGGAAATAACACGCTTGGCGCGTCCTCTTACACATTTTCTACTATTATTTATTTAACGTGGGTGTTTACTTAGTTCCGAATTTTATCTTCATTCTTCACTTCAGTGCAACTGACTGACTCACGACCCGGTAATGAGATAGCTGTTGACACCCAGAAACCCTACTGACCTGAAACAAAAGCAGCCATTCAAATCACAGTACACATATTTATATTGAACTGCCAACTGACTAGAATCAGTGCAGTCAATTAGCTAAAATACCATCCAGCTAACACGACCAATTACCAGCAACCGTACCGTAACAGCAAAGCGCTACAGTAAAGAACTGAGCTGGTTCATACTAGCTTGTGAAAAATATATTGGATATTGGAGATGTATCCTGAATCAAACGGGGAACAGTAGATATCTGACACAATCCATGTTTCCGTAATAACGATTACATTTGATGTGATGTCTCCTATTTGATACTCCTGACAATTGTTATTGTGAATTTGATGGCTTGGTGTTTGAACCAATCACACGAATGAACTAAGTAGAAGTGGTGATTTCAAAAATACTTATGTTTCTTCTGGTTTGCGTGGATATCATATATTTCCTAAGGAATGGTGCAAGAGCCTCCGATAGATAGCGGAGCATGGAGATGGGTTGTTGTTTTAGGAGCATTCATTTCGCATTTTATAACTTGTGGCTTTGAGAAAGGATATTCGATTATTTATGTCGAAATTATTCGAGTATATGACACAAGCGCTGCGATGGCAGCAAGTCTCGGGGGCTTTTCATCAGCAGTTCGCCTGCTGTTAGGTTCGGTTATAGTTTTAATTTATCCTTTTAGCACCATTGTCTGTCTCGTTGAGTAATATTTACTCTGAGCAAAGAGTAGTTATGGCTGGTGGAATATTAACATTTCTCGGTCTATTAATATCAGCACTAAGTGATCACTTTGCTTTTGTCTTTATTGGATATGGAGTCGTATTTGGTAAGATCACTTCATGATAAACCTATTCTAGGTTTCGGGTTAACTCTTGCCTACACACCTTCATTAATTATCTGCACACATTACTTTCACAAACGTCGTGCTACCGCTCTTAGTCTTTCTCTTGCTGGATGTGGTTTCGGCACAATGATTGTGCCGTATTTTTTCTACTATTTAATTTCCCAATATGGACTTTCAGGTGCTCTAATAATTATTTCTGCAATCAGTCTGCATTATTGTATTGCTGGTGCTTTATATTTTAAAAGAGATATCGTGAAAAAGACTATCGAACCGAACTCAAGCTCAGAAAATGTCAAGTTAACTTTACGTTCACGTATTGTTCGTTATCTTCGTTTATTGCTGAAGATCGAAATCGCATCTGGACTGTGGATAAAACTGTTCTTATTTTCCTTTATCTTAAACATGATGGGTTCAGGCCCGGTCACAACTCTGATGATTGATTATTCGAAGCAGCTAGGAGTAAGTTAATTTGATTCTACTTATTGAGTAAATGGAAGACAAATTTTTCAGTTAGGATGAGCTCTGTTTTTATTATATCTAAACTGTTATGTTTATCCTAGTTGTTGGTTCCCATCAAAGCGTTTTAACTGCTCGGTGCATTTGTCACAACACTAGGAGGCATTTAGCAACCGCAGTATTTCAACACAAGTTCTGAATTGCTGTTAATCCTAAGTCTTTTATTCTGCACGCATTTAAGCGGTGTAGCTTTGAAAATATACGGGTTACTAATGCCGTGTCCAATATACATGCAAACGTGTTTTCCGTAATTAAGTAATAGATACAAGCTTCGGAAACATGTAGCTAATTTGTCTGGTGTTTACAGCTTTGATAACTCCCAGCTGTCTCCGACTGTTGACTATTTAGATCAATGCTTTAATTTATTTAACACAAGGCTCATCTATTTTATCCCCACTTTTTCCATCCTTTAAAACCAGTACGAGTGCTGAAATCCTAAGGTAGTGTTATTGAAATTGAAAATCCTCTAGAAACGTGCTGGAAAAAAATAGTCTTCACCTGCTTTGCGAAACCTTTCACTGCTTTATGTTAGCACAGATCACCTAGTTAAGCTCCAACTATTCGCTGAAATTCGAATAGGAATCAATGATTATTTCAAGACTCGCTAACTGGTAACTCGTATGCCTATACGATGTAAAGTGAGGTCTATTTAAAGTGAATAAATAATCATGCCTTTATGTAATGATAGATATATACCGTAAGATAAAAGCTTAAGGAAAGTAAATCACTGGCCGTCTGAAAGAAACTTTCAGAAGACATCACTATTTCCCAGCTAAACGTCAGTCAAAATGACGCACTGGCTAACGTAAACAATTGTATGATCATTTGAAGTTGTCTCATACATGTGGGAATTTACAATAAGGACCTTCATACCTCGTTTACGAGTAAAAAATGAGTGATTTGTCATATTTAGGTTCGAATTTCCAATCTCATTCATAGAGCTTCAGCCTATGGAGAAACCGTAGAAAGCCAAGATGAAATCATGCACAATTGTGTCCAGTTGTTTTGATCATCTATACAATTTTATTGGTGGAGTTAAAACTTTCATATCGTCACGTTGCTTTCAATATTGTTGAGAAAGTAGGCCGAGTACATCAGCCAAATTACTTTTGCCCACTTTAACCTACATTTCCGTTTGGATTAGTGTGCTTATTATCAGTTATAACCCAAAAAATAACTTTCCTTTGATTGCATTTGTATATTTTCGCTGGGTATTGTGATTCCTTCTCACGAAAGTTGGAAAAATTGCTTAGTAATAGATATTATTTCACAGACTCTTACAAGTGATATTATATTAGCAACTTACTTTGTATACTTATAAATTGTTAAATAAACGGTATTTAAATATGAGAGTTGATGGAGAGAACGTAACAAATTTTCAGTGAATATATTGTAATATTCACTATTCTTATATATCATGAAATAATTATGGCTAGAGCTATCCAATTAAACATTGTACTGATGTTTGTACCCTACACGAGTGGTAGACTAGTCTAGGTAGTTTCTAAGCATGTTATCCCCGGGGTGCGATTTTTTTTCAAACCTGCCTGCTTATCTGAAAGATCGGCGTTGAGGTAGCAGACCACAGCTTGTGGTTGCTGATATTATTTGCATAGGTATACCAAAAGGATCTCTCTGGACATACGGGTTATTAGTAATAACAAGTGAATAAGTACATGATTAAACGGAAAGAATATGGAAAAAAAGCGTTCATGTAACCTCTCCGTTTACTATATAATTTAGAGCTCCCTAATATACAATAATTTCTGAAAGTTTTGACTTAAACAAAAAAGTATGTGTTATTTCTGAATAACGCCTACTCTTTTAATTAAATAAACTTGTATATTGTAGTGTAGTGAATGAGAACACAGGTGGAGGCAACCGAATTGTATTTAACGAAAATTGCAGAGTTACTCAGTAAAATCGGAAAACCATATCGTAAATCGTTCATTTGCGAAGGATCAGTTCATCCTATGGAACTGGACTGTTCCTGTTGCCAAACATCAATCCATTGTCACTCTTCATGCGTTTCATACAAATTCCATTGTTTCTGACTCTTCCTTTCTTGATCTTCCCCTCATATTATGCTACCAGACTTTACGTTGACACTCACGCTATATACTACTTATAAGTAGTTCGCACCACACCACCACACTCGTCCCCCCTTTTAATAAGCTGTCGTCGTGGTCCTTCAAAACAGAGCTCCTGGTCAGTTAATATCACCTTCCGTATTCCGTGACACGCTACACTATGCCGGATTACCACTTCGGTCATCGTTCTTGATCACTGGTCTGGAATGGATACGGCATCTATCCAACGTGTAGCGTTTACAAGTTCCCGATGCTGGAACACGGCGGCAGGCACACGCTCGATAAAGTGCGACGCCAAAGACTGTGCCCCGCCAAATCCTCACGGCGCAATCCGGTGAGCTCCACAGCAAGCACCAACAGGTCACCATCGGCCGACAGCCGCGCCAACCGGAACCTCTGCGGCGCCTCCTCCCTGTCCGCTGGGCTGTCGAACTCCATTATCAGCCGCCCGGTGACCGTCCCCCACGCCGTCTCCTTGGTGGCACCGTCCAGGCTGTCGTGCACCGCCTTCGCCTCACCTCCCCACAGCGTCCCCAGCACCGTCAACTCCGCCCCAAGCCCCCACCAGCTCCACCGTGGCCCCAAACTCCTCCAGGAGGCTCCGCCAATCTCCGTCCTGCAACTCCTTCGGCCACGGGAGCCCCTTCCTTCGAGCAGGCAGCGACACCAAATGTAGTGAATGAGAACACAGGTGGAGGCAACCGAATTGTATTTAACGAAAATTGCAGAGTTACTCAGTAAAATCGGAAAACCATATCGTAAATCGTTCATTTGCAAAAGATCAGTTCATCCTATGGAACTGGACTGTTCCTGTTGCCAAACATCAATCCATTGTCACTCTTCATGCGTTTCATACAAATTCCATTGTTTCTGACTCTTCCTTTCTTGATCTTCCCCTCATATTATGCTACCAGACTTTACGTTGACACTCACGCTATATACTACTTATAAGTAGTTCGCAACACAGCACCACAGTAGTTGCTATTGGATTTTGTTTAGTTTAACTTAACTACATAAAATTTGAAAAGTGATCAATGTATTTCAATATGTTAAGCTCTGAAACTGAACTTCTAACTAACACCGAATGTTCAAGCTGCCGCGACCAGCTATTTTTTGTGGTGTAGGAGTAGGTTGGAAGAAATTTAGGGGCGGTCAAAACAAAAGATGGCACAAATCCATGAAGTCACTAATAAGTGAACTGAGTCATGTTGGTAGATGTAGGCTACCTGGTTGGGGTCCGCGAGACGATAGTCACCGATAGTTAGAGACCTTAAACGACATGGATCAAAATCGTTTGCAATAGCGCAGGTGCATCCATTCTTTGTGAGCTTTTTACTTCTAAACTTCTGAATTCCTCATAATCTCTATCTTTCTCCTTGTAAGTTTATCTTACTGAATTATACTTCTCGAATCGTATCTTCGCTCCCTAATCGTCTCCATTACTGCTAATACTTCTATTTTTGCTATCACTCTTGTATTTGAACTGACAGTTACGTCTCTGTGCTGATGTGTGGTATGACAACCTGAACTGATGTACTTACTTATGTACGAAGTTGTTCTGCGTTGTATCTGTCTGTCTGTCTGTCAAGAGGAACATTGTCTCATCAGTCTACTTACCTTCTTATCTAAACATATTTATTTATACTTTCATACAAATCATCTAGGTATATCAAACACCTATTCGTTATTACACATTTTTGAAACCATGAACCGACCAATGTTAGACCACCACTAGAAACCTGGAAGCACTGGACGGCCGTTTCGTCCTGGTATGGGACTAATCATCAGTGGAAGTGCGCATCCACGACTCCTGCACCCCGCAGGACCTTCGGTATTGTGCGCGAACGCCCTAACCGTTAGACCACTGAGCCGGTATCTAACGGTGTTAATGTCTAACTTGATCAAATTCATTATTAATAAATTTACCTATAATGAATAATTTAGACAGTTTTCTATTTAAAATTTTTAAAATAAATTAATTCTCTAAATTCTTAAAAACAAATTCCTTTTTTTATTTTTTTCATTTAATTGACAAGGTTCATGGTGCCAAATCAGTACATTTACTTGCTATTGAAGGTACTGTACAACTAGTTGTACGAATATCATTGGGATTTATATTTGATCACCGGTTTATTAAACCTCATCGTGGTTTTATATGGACAGGAGGCATTGCATTTTCTTCTATTATTATTATTTTTATTGCATTTGCTACAGAATTAAATTATTTATCTGTACTGATGTTTTTACGTGGAATATTTTTAGCCCTATATATATCACAACAAGCTGTAGTTTTATCTGATTTATGTGAAGGGCAACCAGAAACAACTAGTCAAACTATAGCTATAGCACAAATTTGTAAAGGTTTGGGTACATTGATTGGATCATATTTTTCTGGTAAGTATTATTTCATTTTAAGGAGATAGATTTGATTTTAATATTTATTGGTTTTCATACAGGTTTTAGGTCATTTTTATATATTATTTACTGACTTACTTACTTACGCCTGTTACCGTCAATGTAGACAGTCAGTCAGTTAGTCAGTTACAACGTAAGAACTTAGTACGTATGTACATCAGTTCATGTTGCCCCATATCACATTAACACAGAGACGCAAATGTAAAATCAGATCCCGTAGTGACAAAGATAGTAGAGGGATTAATGGTAATGAAGAAAACTAGGGTTCGAAAATATTATTCAAGAAGTATAATTCAGTGAGATAAGGTTAGAAAGACAAAGGTGTAGGTTCTGACGAATCCAGAAGATTAGGATTTAAGCGAGCACAACGAATGGATGCACTTGCCCCGTTGCAAACTCTTTTGAGCCATGTGGTTCAAGCTCTCTAACCATTGATGACTTTCGTCTCACAGATCCCAACCAGGTAGCCTATATCTACAAACATGACTCAGTCCACTTGTCAGCCACTTCATGGATTCCTGCCATGTTTTGGTTTGGCCGCCCCTAGCTTTCTGCCAATCTACTCCTACACTGCGAAACATAGCTCGTCGAGGCAGTCGGTGGTTAGGCATTCGTAACACATGTCCCAACCACCTCAACTGATGAAGTTTCAATACTTCATCTATTGATCTTCCATCCTTACCTAGTACTCGTTTCCTAACGACAGCATTGCTTACTTGGCTGTCTCACGATATACGAGCAATGCTTCTTAAACATCTATGATCGAATACTAGAAAGCTACCAACATCTTCTACTCTTAACGGCCATGTTTCGCATCCATATAGGAGAACGGAGCGAACTGCTGTACAGTACACCCGTCCTTTGGTTAGCGAACGGATATCTCGCCTACACCATAGGTGACGCGGGTTGGCAAAAGCCAATCGAGCTTTCTGTATCCGTGCTGAGATTTCGTCACACACCAGGCCATTAGCACTGATGAGACTCCCAAGATAAGTGAAGCGGTCTACACGTTCGACTACTTCACTCCATATCACTAGTTCAGGTGCCGATGAAAACCAGCCCTGAAGCAACATTTTTCATTTCAAGGATGAGAACCGCATCCCGAACATGCTTTCATTAATGCTTAGGGTGGTCAGAAGACTCTGCATTTTGTCAGCGTCTTCAACGAATAGAACTATGTCATCGTCATATTCTAGATCAGTAAGCGACTTTTCTGGTAGAAGTCTAACCCCTGAAAAATTTGACGAGCTTAATGTTAACTCTAAGAGGATGTCTACGACAAAGTTAAATAAGAATGGAGAGAGTGGACAGCCCTGACAGATACCACTTGATGTAGAGAATTCAGATGACAATTCGCCATATGCTCTCACCCTACCGGTAGTGTTCGAGTAGAGAGTATAGGCTGCCCAACAGTTTTCTCCAACCAACTTTGTCCTGGGCTTCATCTATATATATATATATATATATATATATATATATATATATACACATATATATATATATATATATATATATATATATATATGTCTTATGTATTAAGTTGCACATGAATAATTTAATAATTTCTCTTATTAATCAGTTAAATGAAATTTCCTAGTCTAGTTACAACATCAACATCAAAACATCAATACTTTAGCTGGCTAATACAAAGTTTTTTTAATACACAGAACAAATTATCCATATAAATAAATGAAAGTTATTAAGAGTAACTTTTAATAAAATTTTATGATTAAAAGTAATTAATCAATAAGTTTCAAACTAAAGAAAGGAAAGTGGTTGCCTGCTTTTTTTTTTATAAAAATTTCAATATAAGACAAAGGATTCATTGTGTAGGTTGTGTTTCTTGGTGGTAGTTAACAGCCTATTATTAAGGTTATAATATAATGAACGCATTTTTTTAATATTAAATAACCTGTTACACGATTATCTTAGTTGTTTCAAAAAAATAATGAAAGAAATAAACCTGCTGATCATAGTATTAAAGCTCATATTACCGGTGAAGAGCAGACTAGAGAAAACCAGTCTGGTTTTCGACCTGGACGTGGTTGTATAGACCACATCTTCACACTAAGACAGATCCTGGAACACAGACACACATTTGGGCGTCGTACAATAGTTGTGTTCCTGGACCTGAAGGCGGCATTCGACTCAGTGGATCGTGAGGTTCTGTGGCAGTATCTGTCATTGAAAGGTGTACCAAAGAAGTAGATTAACCTTATACAAGCTCTCTACTCGAACACCACTGGTCGAGTGAGAGCTTATGGCGAACTGTCATTGGAATTCTTCACTTCAAGTGGTGTCCGTCAGGGCTGTTCACTCTCTCCATTATTGTTTAACTTTGTCGTAGACATCCTGTTAGTGTTAACATTAAACTCATCAGATTTTTGAAGTATTGACCTTCTACCAGAAAAATCGGTTACTGATCAATAAGTTTCAAACTAAAGAAAGGAAAGTGGTTGCCTGCTTTTTTTTTATAAAAATTTCAAAATAAGACAAAGAGTTCATTGTGTAGGTTGTGTTTCTTGGTGGACCTCCAAACATATATATATATATATATATATATTGTAGTTAACAGCCTATTATTAAGGTTACAATATAATGAACGCATTTTTTATAATAAATAACCCGTGTAACACGATTATCTTAATTAGTTTAAAATAAAAATGAAACAAACAGACCTGTTGATGATAGTAAATAAAAAAAGCTCATATCACACCGATGAAGTTGTTTTTTAATAATCAACTCTAATCATCACAGATTGATACAAAACTCACACTGCAGTGCAACTAACTAACATAAGTTCAAATTAGTTTACTAATTGACTGTGACAATGCACTTACAATTCTATTTACTCTTTCTTCTTTACACATAAGCAAATTTGATAAATCTCAATATATTTATAATAATTTTTAATTTATATATATGTTCAATTGGGTCCAATTGGGTAAAATTGTCATGATTTAACTTTTCTAAACTAAAGGATAAGAAGTACATACCTGATCAATATACCATTAACTCTGTCTGATTGATTGTTACTTCTGAAAATGATTGATAATGAATTATCTAAATGTTTTGAACATGTAATTTGTTCAAAATATCTATTCAGTTCCGGACAATAGTATACATTGAATACTCATCTATTTTTACTGGTGTAGAAACTTTTAACCGTTGATAAAAATGTCAGTCAGTCAGTCAGATGCAACGTAGAACTTCATACATTAGAGTACATCAATTCATGTGTCCATACCACATCAACACAGAGATATAATTGTCAATTCAAATCCAATAGTAGTAGAGGTAGTAAAGGTATTAGAACTAATCGGAGAGGTTAGGATTAGAAGATATTATTCACGAAGTATGATTCAATGAGAAAAGTTTAGAAAGTCAAAACTAGAGGTGTTGGAGAATCCAGAAGATTAAGATTTGAGAGAACAGAAAGAATAAATGCACCGGCGCCATTGCGAACGTTTTTGAGCCATGTCATTCAAGGTCTCTAACCATCGATTATTATCATTTCGCGGTTCCCAACCAGGTAGTCGACAATTACCGACATAGCTCAGTCCACTTGTCAATGACTTCATTCATTTCTGTCATGTTTTGGTTTGGTTTGATAAAAACGTGTTAAATGTTTATTTCAAAAGAAAAAATAAAGAATTAGACGTTCATTACATGAAACCTCTATGGGACAAATCAAAATAAGACGATGAGTTTCCTGCATGAACTGAAATCAGCTACTATTATTGAGTCTGTTTTTTATGAAGTAACATTTCCTTTCAAATGAAGTAGTGAACAACTGTAGTGTATCTGTTATAAATCGATATATTAGAATTGATATATTCGCGGTACTTTCTGGTTTCAAGTAAAATGGTGTTTATTTATACACGTCTGCAGGAAACCTTAATTATCATTTATCTGTTAAAATTGGGAAATCCATAGTTAATAGTGTTCAGTACAGGTCCATCCATGTACTCCGTTTTGAACTTCACTGTTTTATGGAAATTATCGACACATTTCAGCTGTCTAAGTGAAATGGTTTTTGAATTTGTTACATTGTTTGAAGACCGACTAATTCAATCATCACTGTCTGCAACTCTTTGAAGTCATTGACGAATGAACTTAGCCATGTCGGTAATAGTCGACTACCTGGTTGGGGTCCGCGAGATGATAATAATCGATGGTTAGAGACCTTGAATGACATGGCTCAAAATCGTTCGCAATGGCTCCAGTGCATTTATTCTTTGTGTTCTCTCAAATCCTAATCTTCTGGATTCTTCAACTTTGTAAACTTTTCTCACTGAATCATACTTCTTGAATAATATCTTTTAATCCTAACCTCTCCGATTACTTCTAATACCTTTACTAACTCTTCTACTATTGGATTTGAATTGACAATTATATCTCTGTGTTGATGTGGTATGGACACATGAATTGATGTACTTACGTACGTACGAAGTTCTACGTTGCATCTGACTGACTGACTGACTGCAACTCTCTGTCATTATATGCAAATGATAATTATTAAAATTGACTAGATAATGAAGACATCAAGATTTGGAGGGAAGAACAGAACACAATGTGGACAGCCAAGATGCAGCTAGGAAGATCTGGACGTCGCAGATGATGCTGCTCTTCTAAAGCACACGCCACAACAAATGCAAGAAAATAAGACCGGTGTAGCAGCGGCGTCAGTAGCAGAAGCAGGTCTCAACATACATAAAGGAAAAAACAAAATTCTCCGATGCAACACAACATGCGCCAACCAAATCAATCTTGATGGAGAGGCCTTAGAGGATTTGAAAACCTTTACACATCTGCGCAGCATCATTGACAATCAAGTGGATCGGTTGCAGATGTGAAGGCACAGATCAATAAACCAAGGGCTACATTTCTAAAAGTGAACAACATCTGGAACTCCAAACAAACATCAACCAACAACAAATTCAGCATCTTCAATTCAAATGTCAAGACAGTTCTATTGTATGAAGTGGAAACTTGGAGAACTACGAAAGGCATCATCCAGAAGATACAAGTGTTTATGAACAGTTGTCTACGCAGAATACTTCGGATTCGTTGGCCAGACACCATCAGCAACAACGAACTGTGGGAGAGAACAAACCAGACTCCAGTGGAGGAGGATATCAGGAAGAAGCGGTGGAAGTGGATAGGACACACATTACGAAAAGCACATAACTGCGTCACAAGACAAGCCCTCACTTGGAATCCTCAAAGTCAAAACAAAAGAGGCTGGCCAAAGAACACATTACTCCGAGAAATAGAGAAAGATATGAGAAGAATGAATGAAAATTGGAAAGAACAATGAAGGGAAGTCCTAGAACAGAGTAGGTTTGAGAATACTGGTCAGCGGCTTATGCTCCATTGCGGGTGGTAACAGACGTAAATAAGTAAGTAAGTAAGTAATTAAGTAAGTAAGATAATCATCAAAAAACAATGTAATTGCTGTTTATTTCTTTTCTATATATGTGAATTCTATTTCTTTTACTTTTATCAGGTTTAATCAAAGATTACACAGAAGATTATCGTTATGCTTTTCTTTTTCTCGGTACTATGCAATTTCTTGGTTTCATCACAGCAATTCTATCACTTATATGGGCTAAAATTAATTCATGTAAAGAGAAAAATCAACTTATTATAGATAATAATGTCTTATCAAATAATACTAGCGTTGTCAATGTCTCTGAAGTTTCATTATTACAACCGGTTGTAAATGATAATCATAATGAACATGTGAATCATAGTCCACTTAATCTTTCATCGCCTAATCCTGCTCCTGCTCCTGATCCAGCTCCTCCTCCTCCTCCTCCTCCACCTCCACCTCCATCTTCGTCTTCATCTTCTTCAACTTCTTCCATTCAAAATGAGATTAATGAACAAACTGCCTTGCATAATCCGAAAATTTAAAACTAAAAATCATCAGAGATGTACAATGAGTTTGTTTCATCTTTTATGTAAGTAAAAAATCATGCCCCCGTACTGTTGATGATAAATTATTATTATCTTTGTTTATGCGAATTTTAAATTTCATTTCATTTCTAGGCGGTATTTAGTAAGAAAATAATGAATTGTTTTGTGTGTTTTATTTAAATATATTATCAATAAGTGGGTTGAATGTTTATTGACTTAGGAATATGCCGATGACATAGTTCTATTTGGTGAAGATGCTGACAAAAATGCAGAATCTTCTGATTACCCTAAACAACAATTCAAGCATGTTCGGGATGTGATTCTCTCCCCATCGAAAAGCAGAATGTTGCTTCAAGAGTGGGTTGCATCGGCACCTGAACTCTATTGATAGGGAAGGAAGTAGTTGAAGGTGTAGACCGCTTCACTTATCTTGGGAGTTTCATCAGTGTTGATGGCCTGGTGACTGACGAAATCTCAGTTCGGATACAGAAGGCTTGATTGGATTTTGCCGACTTGCGTCACTTATGGCGTAGACGAGATATCCGTTTGCTGACTAAAAGGACGAGTGTACTGTGCAGTAGTTCGCTCCGTCTTACTTTATAGCTGTGAAACATGGCCAATGAGAGTAGAAGATATTCGTAGGTTACTGGTTTTCGATCATAGGTGTCTTCGAAGTATTGATTGTATATCCTGGGACACCCGAATGAACAACGCTGTAATTAGGAAACGGGTGCTAGGTAAGAATGGCAGATCAATAGATGAAGTGGTGAAACTTGATCAGTTGAGGTGGTTAGGACATGTGTTGCGTATGCCTAACCACCGACTGCCGCGACGAGCTATGTTTTGCAGTGTAGGAGTAGATTGGAAGAAAGTTAGGGGCGGCCAGACCGAAACATGGCAGAAATCCATGAAGTCATTGACAAGTGGACTGAGTCATGTTGATAGATGTAGACTACCTGGTTGGGGTCCGCGAGACGAAAGTCACTGATGGTTAGAGACCTTGAACGACTCGTCTCAAAATCGTTTGCAATGGCGCCAGTGCATTTATTGTTTGTGTTCTCTCAAATCCTAATCTTCTGGATTCTTCAACACTTTTGGTTTTGTCTTTCTAAACTTTTCTCACTGAATCATACTTCTTGAATAATATCTTGCAATCCTAACCTCTCCGATTAGTTCTCATACCTTTACTACCTCTACTACTATTGGATTTGAATTGACAATTATATCTCTGTGTTGATGTGGTATGGCAACCTGAACTGATGTACTTACGTAGGAAGTTTCACGTTGCATCTGACTGACTGTAAGGTTGACTGCAGTAAATGTTTTCAATAATTTTAGACAACCATTTTAAATAGAATAGAAATAATTCAAATAAACGACCATAATTTTTTTCAATTAGAATTATAAAGATTAGTGTATGTTTCTTTGCACATTGAAATCATCAATCAATTATTGTTAGACCACCAGTAGAAGAAAACTGGAAGCAATGAAGGACGGCTGTTTTCGTCCTGGTATGGAACTCATAAGCAATGCGGGACCTTCGGTGTTGTGCGCGAACGCCTGGTCATTGGACCACTGGGACGGCATCCAACGGTGTTAATGTCTAACTCTGATTGATCTAGGGATTTTGTGTGACCTCACACATTTTTCTTCGGTATTTACTACCTATACCCTCGACAGGGTTGAACTCCATTGGTCACGTCTTCTCACTAGAACTCCGAGAATTTCCTCACGAAGCTAGTCACTAATGGGCACATTTTACGCTATTTTCAATTAGAGTTATGGAGATTAGTGTGTTTTTTTGCACATAGAAATCAAGAATCAGTTATTGTTGGGCCATCATTAGAAGAAACCTGTAAACACCTGAAAGACGGCCGTTTTCCTACTGGTATGGAACTCATAAGCAGTGCTTTCGCGCACAATACTGAAAGTCCTAGGTTCGAATCGTATGAAGTGTAGAAATAGTGAATGTGTACATTACTGATAAGTCTTATGACCACAACGAAACAGCCGCCTGTCTTCCAGTGCTTCTTCCAGATTTCTAATCATCATGGCCTAACAACAATGAATGATTCATTCATAATTTCTATCTATAATCTACCATATGATTAAAATACTGTCTACTTGTGTTTTTCTGTTATGGAATCTCAAGAATTTTTTTTTTTTTGATTCAAACTAATCAGTACATAGATAGTTTTTAAATTAAAGACAAATTGAAGTTGATGGTGAAACCTTTTAGTGATATTGTAAAATATTATTTAACTGTAATAATTATAAGATGTCAATTTAAATTGTTTAACTGTAAGAGTCGATGACGTCTTTACTGTTTGTCATTAATTAGTTAAATAAAATCTTGTCAAAATTTGATTTTATTTAAATATGATTTTAACGAAACACTTGATATATTTCATCGATTCACTGTGAATAATGATAAATTTAGAATGGTAATTATGAAAAAAAGAATATTATCCATTAGCCTTATTTTTTTAAAGTACCAGATTTACTTTAAATGACTTCATGTAACAAACTTTCGCTTAATAAACCTGACTATTTCTTAATTTCCCGACCGTAGCTGCTACCTTGACGTGGTGGTCGTGCTTGCCTATCATGATGACCCAACCGAGCTATATTGGCTGGAACATATGTTCCTGCAGGTCCTACCATACCAGGCAGGTCGATCGGAGAACGATGAGCTACCCAAGGTCTGAGGGCGAAGTCGTACTGCTGACTGTGATGGAGGGATGTGACAGCAGTAAGGTGTTTCCCTCTGACAACCAGCATCTGCAGCGATGCTGCCTTCTCACAAGGAAGGAAGGGGTTAGAAAAGGTCGACCCTAAAAATGTCACACCTCCCCTAACTCACGGATTTCCGTCTCCTTGGGTAAGGGTGCCCACTAAGGGCCTTTAAGAACGGAGCTAATCCTCAAAAATCCTTTCATAAAAAGGCCGTGCGTGACCGGCCTCAAGCAGTTGTCCCTTGGACTCTGCGGTCACGCATCCAGGTCTCTAAGACCAACACTAATCTATTTTCCTTTTCAGGTTTCTCAAGAAACAACCTTCCACGGTGTGGGCAGCCGGGAAGTAACAACCGCCCTCATACCCGTAACAGCACACGAGACCAAATTGGTCAAAATCAAGTCCTTCCTACACCCCCTAGTACCTCTCTTATCTCCACGACTAACACATTCATTTATCACAGTGCAGACGACACGAGTTCGCGAAACGTCGTTCCTGGTCTCCTTAAATCCCGCTCTAGACTACATTTCTTAATGCTTCATATTCACTGACAACAATACTACTCGACAAGTCGCCAAAATCAGAACACAGTTGAACAGGGAAGAGATAATATTCCAAATAGTAAAGTTACATAGAATTAAGAAGCTGAAGTGAAGTCGAAATAAGAACAACATTAGTATCTTTATCATTTTTCCAAGAGAAGCTTCTAGAATATACTCCTAGTATCGACTAGCGCTGATTGGATGCGAATTAACCAATCAGCGTGCAGCTAATTCAATCATGCTTTAATCCTCCAATCTATGTCACGCCAACACATCTATGATGAAAATATATATATCCAATCAACTGAAAATGAATAGATAGATATATCAATATTTTGAACAATTTTTTTCTCACATAACTACGTATTTTTGTGCTCTAAGGCAACTTTCTTACATATAGTGAAATAATCAAATGTAGGTACAATCTGAGAACTGAGCATCATCCTGTCAGATTAGTCTCAATACCTTATTGTCCAAATTTATAAGAAGGATAAAAGTCGTTTTGTGACAATCATAGAGGAATCAGTTTAACTTATATAGTACAGTTATGTTGGTAGGTGTAGACTATCTAGTTTTGGGAGTTCGCAAGATAATAATAACCGATAGTTGGAGATCTTGAGTGACATGGCTCAAAATCGTTTGCAAAGTCTTAGATGGATCCACTCTTTGTGTTCTATGAAATTCTAATCTCTTGAATTCTCTTTTTAAATTTATTTCACTGGCTTATACTTCTTGAATAATATCTTCGAGCCCAAATCTTCTTCCTAACCGCTAATACTTCTACTATCTCTATCACTATGGGATTTGAACTGGCAATTACATCTCTGCATACTAATGTGATATGACAACCTGAACTTATGTACTTACGTAGGCAATAAGTTCTATGTTTTAACTGACTGATTGAAACCTAAATAGATCGATCATTATTATCATTATCCTAAGAAAGTTTACAAATCCATTGATATTGGTTGCTTGAATCTTCCGATCGATATTTTTACAACTGAAATTGGTCAGTCTCTGTGGCATATGTGTATCCTGTGCGAATTATCACGATATTACCTTTAAGTTACAGACATTATTAACAGAGGTGGGATAATGACTAACAGTGTAATTCAGGACGTGTGTTTCATCCAATTTAGGACTCGTCAGCCTAATATACATGCATCTCCCATTTGATGTTCACTTCAGGACACAAACCTGATACCTTCCGTTTCAAACACCATCAAGCTATCCGCTTAGCTAATGAGTCCCAGAATGAACATCAAATTGGAGATACAAGTACATTCAGTTGATGAATATCCTGTATTTCCACTGCTAGCTACTATTCACCTCAACTTTACAAGTTGTCTGTTATCATTGGAATAGATCATTAAGAAAGTGTATTGACCTTTATATTTCAAGAATAATGAATTGCTTAAATCTAACAAAGTAAAATCATTCTCTTGTCTAATGTTTGTTACTTGTAATATAATCACTAGAAAAAAAAAGGACTATAGAATCACCAAATATAATTAATATTAATTCTCGTTATTTAAATTGTTATCTTTGTGTCAAACATATAAAATTCTTATTGCATAAGTAAAATATTCATCAGAATCAATAATAAAAAACAAAATTTCGTTATGTGTAAGTTAATCTAGCCAAAAATTCAAACTATCATACAATCATTGAAGTTAGGCAAGGTAGAAAAGAAATACTGAAGTATTTTCTGTATGACGAGTAAGTAATTAATTAATGCCAACCTATTATTTGGCGGGAGTAACTAT